AAGGATCATCCTGGCCACATGGTAAAACCCCGTCTCTACTAAAAATACAAAATCGGCCAGGCGTGGTGACGCACGCCTGTAATTCCAGCTACTCGGGAGCTGAGGCAGGAGAATTGCTTGAACTTGGGGAGGCAGAGGTCGCAGTGAGCCAAGGATCACTGCCACTAGCACTCAGCCTGGGCAACAGAGCGAAACTCTGTCCAAAAAAAAAAATTAGCTGGGCGTGGGGGGGTGACACTGTAACACACCCCACTCACCAGACCGCATGCAGTGGGAACAATGACGCTGTGGCATCCTTGGCTCTGCGGCTCCCAGCATCTCCACGTTTTGGGTGCCTGCACATTCCCCCTCTCCAGACACCAGTGCCCAAGGCAGAAGCAGGTTGTGGCAAGCGCAGTCCAGTCACGGGCTGAGCGCAGATCCCACGGCCGGGCTAGGTGGGCGGGGTACCTCCAGTGGCAAGCCTGGAGCCCAGCGAGACCCAGGTAGGAGCACCACTGGCCACACAGGCCTCCAGCTGGAGAAGCAGCACCCCAAAAAGTCCTGTGTCAACTATTTTAGTAAAAAAAAAAAATGAGGTAACACAATACAATAGCAAGCAATTTAAGATCTGAGAGGAACGTGTCTGTTTCCACTCTTGGGGTTCCGTAAGAAAAACAGAACTTTCTCCCCAAAAAGGAGTCTGGTGCCTTCTCTTCTACACAGGGGTCTGTATATGTGTATGTGGCATACGGACTTAATTAAGCTAATATGTCGGATATTAGCTTTAAGTTTACTTTTGACCATTAAACCCTTTTAAAAATCCTCTTGGCTGGGCGCAGTGGTTCATGCCTGTAATCCCAGCAGTTTGGGAGGCCAAGGTGGGTGGATCACAAGGTTAGGAGTTCATGACCAGCCTGGTCAAGATGGTGAAACCCCGTCTCTACTAAAAATACAAAAATTAGCCAGGTGCAGTGGCTAGTGCCTGTAATCCCAACTACTTGGGAGGCTGAGGCAGGAGAATGGCGTGAACCTGGGCGGCAGAGGTTGCAGTGAGCTGAGATCACGCCACTGCACTCCAGCCTGGGCAACAGAGTGAGACTCCGTCTCAATAAAAAAAAAAATTCCTTTTAAATCTTTAAATCTCACTACCTTATTTCAGCTGGGACAAATTGCTGATATTTCAAAAGTAACACAAATTTCAAACCAGAAACGGTGTAGGAAGCAAACCTGGGCTGTCCTGGTGGAAAAACGGCCGACTCTACCCACTGAACTGCAGCATGAGGTGATGGCACTTACTCTTCAGGCTTGGCTGGGAAAAGGTGGCCTTGTTATGCAAATAAAGCCCATCAGGTGGTCAAAATCTCGTTTTCCCTTTTTCTGGCTTTTTATTTTTCCTTTTTCCCACCTGTGGGAATTCAGTTAATTCAGAGGCCTCGTTTCCCACAATTTGGAAGTTTCCTTCAGATCTGACCAAGTCTAACAGAGTTCATCAAATCCAATGGGAAAAAGACTGAAACAGCAAAAATAGCACACACAGAAACAAATAAAAAGCAGTTAAGCAAAACAAACACTCCCACAATTTATACATTTACTGAGCATACTAATAGTAAGAAATTAAGACCAGCCAGTTGTTCATCTTAGCTTTAGTCATTGAGGACTTCCAAGACAGAACCCCAGTTCTGCTACTTACCTAGGAACGGGGCCCAGGCTTTCGACTGCTCTCTACCATCCTGGAATCAGGAAACACTCGAGTTGTTTCCGAGCTGAAACTCCAGGGAACTCTCCTGCTCCCCATCATTATGGAAGCAGGAAACGCGCCTTCTTTGTTGGAAGCAAGTGAAACACCAGAAAAGGAAAAGGCGTTGTACGCAGAATAAACCTCAGACCTCAACCCAGTTCCGGGAGATCAGAGATTCTCCGGAGGGTGGCGGGGCCCCCAATCTCAGCCAATTGTCCCATTGTCCTGAGCAATAAAGAAAGCCCAAACTGGTCCTAAGCACCAGCAGAAACTCTGTCAAAGGGCGGGGCCACCTCCACTCTGAGTCCCTGCATGGTCGCCAACTTGTTAAGCCAACAAGTACCTGAGACAGCTCTCAGTCACCTTAGAGGTTTATTTGGCCAAGGTTAAGGATGTGTGCATGACAGCCAAGTCTGTACCTTCCTCCAAAGATGATGCTGAGGGCTTCAGTGTTTAAAGGGGCTGGAGGGGAAGGAGGGAGGGCATGGTACCTCCTTGAATCCACGTGTCACAGGACAAAAGGAGTCAATTATGTATTTGTCTCATGCTCAGTAAATTGGCACTTCACCCACTTTTTGATGGAGTGGGTGAAGGATATGAACAGACACTTCTCAAAAGAAGACATTCATACAGCCAACAGACACGTGAAAAAATGCTCATCATCACTGGCCATCAGAGAAATGCAAATCAAAACCACAATGAGATACCATCTCACACCAGTTAGAATGGCAGTCACTAAAAAGTCAGGAAACAACAGGTGCTGGAGAGGATGTGGAGAAACAGGAACACTTTTACACTGTTGGTGGGACTGTAAACTAGTTCAACCATTGTGGAAGACGGTGTGGCGACTCCTCAAGGATCTAGAACTAGAAATACCATTTGACCCAGCCATCCCATTACTGGGTATATACCCAAAGGATTATAAGATGTAAGGATCATGCTGCTATAAGGACACATGCACACATATGTTTATTGCAGCACTATTCACAATATAGCAAAGACTGTGTGTGTGTGTGTATACTACATAATGGCAGTGCTGCTTTATTACTATTAGTTTTTGAGACAGAGTATCGCTCTGTCACCCAGGCTGGAGTGCGGTGCTGTGTTCTTGGCTCACTACAACCTCCGCCTCCCGGCTTCAAGAGATTCTCCTGCCTCAGCCTCCCAAGCAGCTGGGATTACAGGCTCCCACCACCACGCCCGGCTAATTTTTGTATTATTAGTAGAGATGGGGTTTCTCCATGTTGGAACCAACCCAAATGCCCATCAATGATAGACTGGATTAAAAAAACGTGGCACATATACACCATAGAATACTATGCAGTCATAAAAAAGGATGAGTTCGTGTTCTTTGTAGGGACATGGATGAAGCTGGAAACCATCACTGTCAGCAAACTATCGCAAGGACAAAAAACCAAACACCGCATGTTCTCCCTTATAGGTGGGAATTGAACAATGAGATCACCTGGACACAGGAAGGGGAACATCACACACCAGGGCATGTCGTGGGGTAGGGGGAGCGGGGAGGGATAGCATTAGGAGAAACACCTAATGTAAATGATGAGTTAATGGGTGCAGCACACCAGCATGGCACATGTATACATATGTAACAAACCTGCACGTTGTACACATGTACTGTAGAACTTAAAGTATTAAAAAAAACATTGGCACTTCACACAAGATGAACAAAGAGTAGCTACCTGTGGAGAAACTTTAACTTGTTATTTGTAGCTCTCTGCTTAGGAACAAAAAGGAAGCAGTTTCTTGCATGACTCATCTTTCAGCTTATTTTTTTTCTTGTGGCAGAGTGAAATTAGCGTTCCAGGTTTTGACTGGCCTTTCCTGATTCCTAAGGCTCTGTGTATGTGTGTATATACTACACGGGCCTGTATGGATTAGAAATTGTATGTGTGTGGCAGGCAGCAGGCTCCCTCCCGCTGGCACCTGAGAAGTCTGTGTCCAGCACTCTCCGCTGGCCACTGAAACAAGCCAACGGGAGATTGCATGGGAAGCTTGTTGGCCAGACTGGAAACTAATAAAGCGACCACACTGTCACTAAACGCATCAGGCTTCCAGACAGGGCAGAGCCTTCTCAACACAGGGGGAAGTCTAGCCTGAGCTGAGGGTTGCTGGAGAGGGTGCAGCCACCTGATAACTTGTCTCATGCCGTTGTACTCAGGTCCCTTCCACGGCCTCCCACACTCAGGAGCCCTCATCTGTGGGCAGAAAGACAGGACAGCGCTGGCAAGGCCACTTCCAAAGTCTCAGTGCTATGGCTATCCCATGCCCCCAGCACACATTCCACATTCTTCTTTAGGGCCTTTTAATAAGCTGAGTCAGATTACAGTCAAGCAAGGAGCCCTGGGGCCCGTTAGTCGACTTTGTACTTCTTTGTTCTGGAACATTACATCTTAATGTTTAGCTCTTAGAATCTGACCTTTTCCTCAAGTTTGGGGGCATCTTATTCACCATAACTTCCAAGTATTCACATCGTCTCCTTCTGAAACAAAGGCAAGTGTTTTAACTGTCCACCGTGAATCAGAATGTAAGATGCCATCTGCTGTCCATCACTCTGCACAGCCAGCCACTTCCAACATGAACATACTAATTTATTCATTTATCACCACAAAGCTTGCTCTCTGAGCCAGTCACTCTTGCCTCGACTGAGCTGTAAGCAGCTTTGGGGAAGGCAGGACCAAACGGCACTGGAGAAGGGGCCGCAGCTTCTCCAAGGTGGGGCGGCCCTGGTGCCACCCTCCCCGAGATCACTGGAGAAGGGGGCTGTGGTTTCTCACAGGTGGGGCGGCCCTGGTGCCACCCTCCCCGAGATCATTGGAGAAGGGGGCTGTGGTTTCTCACAGGGTGGGGCGGCCCTGGTGCACCCTCCCCGAGATCATTGGAGAAGGGGGCTGTGGTTTCTCACAGGGTGGGGCGGCCCTTCCTGAGACGCCTATTGCAGGGAGTAACGAGTGCCATGCAAGGGTGCTTGTTTATTCTTTGAGATGTGAACTGTAGGCATCTGCTGTGCTGGGGTTCCTGTGCCGCCGGTAGGGGCCCCAGTCCTCCTGCTCCCGAATGGTTCTCTGCTGGTCACTCCCGCTGGAACTGCCGCTGGTGAGCGTCTCGTTTGACGCTCGCGTGATGATGATCTGTGGAACGACCACTTTCTTCCTGCTGGACTTTTGCTTTACATCAGGTTTCTCTAGAGGAAAAAACATCCAGGCATTTAGTGGATGTGTGGAAAGCTCCTTCCACCTCCTGCCATTGGTCAGAGGAAAGGAATTATCCGTAGCTAGCGCGCTCCACAGGCGGTCCACTCGCCCGCTAGTTTTTCTGTATTCTTTCTCGCTCGCAGACGGGGTTTCCAACCGTGTAGCCGCTCGTTGCTCCTGACCCTGCCTCGCCAGTC